TACAATAAAAAAAAAAAATATTCACCTTTGTAATCCCGAATAAGTGACCTAAGGTTGGACCCCATCCTTTTTGTTACATGTGCAATACAATCAACCTTCGGTATGTACACAGTAGGACCATAAGGTTGCTCTATGCATATGCGGCTGTATGAACTACTGTCCCCATCACCAATAAATGGAATGTATCGAATCTTGTGCCTTTCAATTGATCGGGAATAGAGTTTTGAGACCCCAGCAGCCTCCATTGACTATAGAATTAGAAACAATAAACAGAAATATATTTAGTGTAGAATTTGCATATTACAAATATATGCAAATTTAATAGGTAAGTTATAAGTAGCTACTGCCTGCAGGCTAGCAAGCTATTAGCCTATAACAATAAAGCCTAAATTTTTACCCGAGTTTATCTATTTTGAAGGCCAGATATCAGTATGCTTTAAAGAACTTCTTTTAGTCATGATTTAATTTTTTAGACGGATGTGTTTTCTCTACCCACCAATAAATATATATTGTTTAATACAGGTAATAGTGTTTATTATTACCTGAGCGCTCCCATCATGGTTAAGAAGACAGCCTGGTTCGTGCTTTATATACCAATCCAGAAACTCAAGCCTTGTCAATTCCCCACGTGCCCGTTTATCGTCCATTTGTTTACAGTGCGGACATGATTTGGTCATGAAAATAACATCAAGAACCTTTCCCGTATCGTCAGATATAGCTGTCACAACTCCGTCTCTTGCAGACCACCCTCTGCTGTTCCAAGAACCGTCAAAACTAGCGGCACAATCAACAATTTTGGATTTCAACTGATCATCAGTGCAATCTGGAACTTCTCCGATACAACGTTTAAGTTTTTTCAGTTCAAATACGGCGTCTTCCATACTAGTCTCGGTCAGTTCTTTTGACTTGGTTTCTAGTTCTTTGGTGTATGAACTCCATGTGGATACTGGCGAAGAAATATCCAACATACTAAGGCATTTCTCTGCTGCAGCCCTGCCTTTCCCGATTGCTCGGAAAGCAGCAACAGAAGAAGCGTTCACCGTATATTTTTGTCCAGAATATTCCGAAATTGGCACTGAAGCGTGTGATAATACATGTGAAACGCATGTCTCGCTTGTACAAATGAAAATCCATTTTGCCCCCAATCCGTGCCTTGAGTTCGCTTTCTCGCGTATGTGTATTGGGCAATGGCAATACTTACAAACTGCTGAATTGTCGACCATTTCTTGTAGACATCCAGGCTCAACAACATAACGTCCAACAGGTGCTTTAAATGCACCATCCTCGCTGTTGTCTAAGTCGGTAAGCGATTCTGACTCCGATTCTGACTCCGATTCTGAAGCTTTTCTTCTCTTCAAGCTTTCCATGCTGTCATTTAATTTCGCTTCACTTCGCGAAGAACTTTCAGCATCTCCAGGATTTTTGTCAGAAAAAAGCTCGGGCCATTGCTTCTCTTGTTCAAAATATGAGCCGAGGTCAGTATGGGAGAGATAACTCTTTCTCTCATCTTTAAAGACACACGCGTCAGTCTTTTTTTTTTCTTCCCCCTTGACCTTGTGTTGCAAAAAGGATTTGTACTCTTTCTATCAGTTTTAGACTTCGATTTTGGCATTTTAACAGTGATTTTCGATGTAAACAACGTGTCGATGAGTGCGTGTTGTGACAATAAAATGAAATGTACAACTTGACGTGCTGTCAATCACTAATTATATGTTAATTTATGTTAATTCGTTTTCCCGCCAAAGCATATTCATGATTTAGTGATCATAGAATTTGGAAAGCGTTTTACTTGATAACGTGTTCAATTTGAAAGATTTTAATTTGAAATTTTTTCTGACGACAGATCTATTTCCTAGCTACAAGAAAATTAAATAATTTTTTTTTTTTAAATTTTAAAATTCTAGGGTCTCCTGTAACCTTAATAGGGGTTCGACCAGTGGCGAAGTTAGCCATGGCAATTGGTCATGCTAAGCTAATAAACCTGCATCTAAATAGGTTAAAGGCAATACATTTCTAAAGGTTTGAATAATACAAATCATTAAAAGTTTGCATAGCATCATTAGCATGATCTGTTGCTATGGCTAGCTTCGCCACTGGGTTCGACTGTAAATATAAAAAATTTTTCGACATATTTCAAAAATACAACCCACTTAATTTTTAATTCTCTTTTAAAAGATGTTTTCTGTTTATATTTAGAAACCAAAAACGGAGTGGATAAAAGCAACGTTTCAATGCTAACTCACAAAACACAATTGAAATCAAAAGATGGTCGTGTGCATATATCAACCACACAGAACTTTTGCCAATCAAAGTGGTGGACAGAAAACTTGCATTATCATTGGATTAACATCAAAGTTAGAAGAGAACGTATCATACACTGAGGAAAGAGATGAGTGATGACTGTCCAAGTCTGCTGTACATAAAAACTTCTTATAGTATTTAATTAAAATATATATCTTGCATATAAATTAAAGTTAAGAGCAAAGTGAATTTGTTTGCACTGAAGAAAACTAAATTATTCATAACGTATTTAAACAAGATGCAGGTTTTTATGAATTATATTATGCAAAATTAGAACCGTCATTCTTAGTGCATGACCTTTGAATATAGGTATATTATAATCAATCTCTTGGGAATTAGAAGACAATAAAACGACGGCCATGGGGATGCCAAATTCAATGGAGGAGATTGAATTTCATTTTGAAAAAAATGTTACCATGGTTACCACTAACTTTGCACAAATGTATCCTTAAAAAAGTATAATAGTTACATTTTGTTTTAAGTGACGACTACATGGAACTACAGGGCGTGTAAGAAAAGGTAATCCAACTTTGACCGCTTATCGTGCGTTATTACGTTTAGGTCTTCTGTTTTCGTATTTATAAAGATCAGGCTTTTAGCTGTCATTTGACACCTTTATCGAATCATTGCGATAAAAAATGACCATACGATCCGATTTAAAGTGTTGGTTGAAACAGCATTTTTCCACATTTACGAAATTTTCAAATTTTCGAACATGAGAGCTCAGTCTGTGAGCTCAGTCTGCGAGCTCAGTCTGCAATTGTGAGCTCAGTCTGCAAATGTCCAGTTTTGTAAAATGTTCTAACAATTTCGATACAAAATTGCGAGTGGAAATTTACCAAAACTTAATGCTTACACATGCGACTTTATTCTAGCGACATGAGAATAATAAATAAATTTCAATACTCAGACAATAGCTTTACATGCAATTCCGTGGAAAAATGTGATTTCGACTGGCATTTTTAAATCGGCAACTAAAAGCCTTATCTTTATTGGTATGAAAAAAGCAAATGATATATACAGGGTGTATAAAAAAAAACTGAACAGATTTGAAATTGCTCTCAATTTCGCAACACACCTATTTGTATCCGGTTTTTTATATATATAGCTTCTTTGGGTACTTATAATGTAGAATAATGAAAAAAATTTCTTGAACTCAAATTTTATGAACCAGGGGGGTGTGTCTTTTCCAACAAATGGCTCGCGCACAAAATTTAAAAGTTGTAATCATATTTTGAGTTAATAGATGGAAAATTTGTCAGGGTTTTTAACTACTGTACAAAATTTCAAACAATTTGGTTTAGTTTAAGCCCTTTAACTATTCACGCAAAGTTACATTGTTCCTAAAAATCAGCTTTTCGCATGCTTAATTAATGCATTTGCCTAATTTGCATATGTCAGCAATATGCAAATTAGGTAAAGGCATAATTAAGCATGCGAAAAGCTGATTTTTAAGAATAAAATAAATAGTTAAAGGGCTTAAACTAAACCAAATTGTCTGAAATTTTGTACAGTAATTAAAACCCCGACAAAGTTTCCATCTATAAACTCAAAATATGATTACATCTTTTAAATTTTGTGCGCGAGCCATTTTTAGTTTGTTGGAAAAGACACCCCCCCCTGGTCCACAAAATTTGAGTTTGAGAATTTTTTTTCATTATTCTACATTATAAGTACCCAAAGAAGCTATATATATAAAAAACCGGATACAAATAGGTGTTTTGCGAAATTGAGAGCAATTTCAAATCTGTTCAGTTTTTTTTGATACACCCTGTATATATATAATGAACGTAATAAACTAATATATAATGTACGATAACATGCCGAAGTTGAATTACCTTTTTTTTATACACCGTGCATAACTGTTCGCCAGTTCGGTTTGAAAATGCGAGGAGTTGTTGCTACTTCCCTTCTCATGATTCATGAAGGCAAGAAACAATGCACAATCGTATTTTGATATATCGTACACTCGGCCATAAATCTCAAAATATCCCATCTATTGTCAAGAACAATTGTTCTTATTTGCTTTATTTAACATGAAAAATGAAAAAAAATCACGTTCATATAAAATATTCTATACCAATCTACAATTAAACTATATATAATTAAAAAAATAATGGCATTAAACTGATTCTCAAATTGCATCTCTAATTGTATGATTGCATAGTTCTATGTTGTTCGATTATGTTAAAATCTTATCTCCCATAAATATAATGCAACGAATTATAAGGCTTCATAAGCGTTTTACACTATACTATTGTACTAGGAAGCACGATGCCCATATATACATATGTGCAAATCTTGACAAGTTTCGTTGACAAGTTTTATTTTAGGACTTTCTTTCGCTCATGTGTACAACAGATAAATACAAGTGCCACAAGTAGTTTGTTTAGGGGTGGCCCATTAGATACCTGGGAGGGAGTGGGGGTATCATGCAAGCATTTAAGGAAAGAAAAAATTCCTGCTACTACCTGGAATAGACAGGAAATTCTTTAAAAAATTCTTGCACAGCTTCAACACAAAAAATGTTCGACAAAGCTCCCAACTTAAAAAAATCTTGCAAGGAAAATTACCCGCTCCCTTCCAGGATATCTAATGATCCACCCCTTAAGTCCTTTCAAGTCAAATACGTTCCTCAACTTTATGGCTTTTACAAACGAAATTTGCCAAGTAAAACTTGTTATTACAATATTTTGTCGTACTGTACACATAAAGAACAGAACTTGTCAAGAAAATATGCACGTCAATTAGCAAGAATTTCCAGTCTCGCGTAAGGATTAAAGCCATTTTGTGATTCATGCAACTACGTACTTGGTCGGTTTTAAAAGTCCTGGACTTTGTAATTGTTCTTTCGCCTCTTAACGAAAACATCTAAACTGGAGCGCAAGTCCATATTTCGTTCATATTTCCAAAACGACACTTCATTCCGGACTCCTATGTTGCTCCAATGAATGAAAACGAACTGATTAGCATAACTCATGGAAGTTGCCAACGTGGTATTTCATTACAGATATCGTGATCGATTTAACCCACTTAAAAAGCATTGAAGACAGACAAAGCTCATATATGCATCGCGTTACGGAAACTGATGTTATCTCCACCGTTAAGCAGAATGCCTTTAGACATCTACATGGATTGCGTTCATTTCGCATAAATTTTTGACCTGGTGCTTCTTCTAACTATTATTAACATGTTGTTAAAAAGGAAATTAAAAAGAGTATCAATGCCTAGATGGAACAAGAAGAGTCAAGGCAAGCATGCATTATTCTTTCCCACATTCCAACTAGCTTAGTAAAGATTTTTAAAGCGCTACTCTGTAACACATTTGTTCAGGTTTCCACCCGAATCCCAGGGTGGGCATGCAGCCATGCACCGAATTCTTGCCATACATCGCCGCGTATAAAGATAGATTGTTTCATTTTACGACTCTATGTCTCCATACCGTTTTCCTCATTATCGAAACGATTGTTTGTCTCACCAAAACTGTCCATATTCATGGAGCACGAAGCACTATCATCGCTGTAATACGCTTCAGGTTTTATAGTTAGACGAGCCTGAGTAGTTCTTTTAGCGGCAAGTAAACGTGACAATGTTGCTGTTGATGTGTCGTTTGTTAAAGGTGTTACTGGAACGTTATGTGCCCGACAATGCATCTCCAGTTCCTACAAAGGAAGTAAAAAGAGTTTCAGCTGTAACTCACTGGTACTCTAATGATTATTGCTGCGTACTTGGGCTGGTACAACCTCAAGACTCAAGGTATACGAATACCTAGTTTTTAAGATACACTACATAACAGTTTAAAAAGGGCGGTCGTCTAGAAAGTTAGAAACCAGAAGATGTGAGGTCGAATCCCGCCCGAGACAATGAATTTTTCGTTGCATTCTGCACGCAGTATCAGAATAATATTAAAGTAGTTGTCCATATCTCTGAGAATGTAGCTACATGTTGTTAGGTAGATATAATTGTAGGTATAAATAATTAGATGTATACTAGGTATAAATATATATAATAAGTAGGTATAAATAATTAGATGTATACTTACTTGTATTCGTAATAAAAGTTTTGAATTTAATTCCTCAGTTTCTCGGAACTTTTCCAAATTGGCTTTATGTCGCTCATTTTCTCTCTTCAAATATTTAATATAATCCACTGTACACTTCAAGATGGTGCCTTTGTTTTGCTTCATATCCCTAAATCATTACAAAATGCAATTGAAATTTATGATTGTTGGTTGGACGGGCAATAGCATACTGTGCGACAGTATACAGTTGCAAGGAACCGTCCTGTATATGTCAATATTTAGTACTTAACATTCAAATGGTTTATCGAATTAAATACTGTATAGGTGGTATCTGCATAAATTCTACAGGTCATAGAAAAAACAATCCACAGCAATTATTTATTCTGTACTTGTAGACTGTACACTGTAGACACTGTAGACTGTACACTATAGATTGTTATATAGGGGGAAATTGGCTGCTAGCACGATAGAGATTTGCTTTCTAATATTAGTGCTTTAAGTAAACATTTTCACGTGAATATTAGGAGGTATGTCAATACATTCAATGATTTAAAGCTTATACATGATAATATATCATTTATAGACCCTCCGCTCGGGCGCCCCTCACTCCTTAGGAAATATTATCATTTCGGGTAATACTTCGCCGAATCCCCTCGCTCCGGATCTACTGTATATATAATTGATAAATATAACTTACGTATCTTGTTTCGGGATCATAGTTCCCAGCTCTTTTATTCGGTCATTGATATTAAAACGTCGTCTTCTTTCAACTGCAAAAAAACACGAGAAATTGGTCGGGAAAAGACATGACACAGGCAAATTTTATACTTTATTGAATTCTGCTCACTTAATTCATTTGGCTGATTATGATCACGTGATATGGAATTAAAATTCCATTCCCATTTTGCTACCGTGCAACAGTACTTGTACTTATTTATTGCATGGTAAGGTTTAAATAAATTCAATCATTCAAAATCCTATTCATATCGTAAATTAACGTAACTCATTTAACTATAATTTTCATATTGAGACCGATGAAATTAAATTCAAATACATACAGTAACTCGTGCGAAACAAAAATGACGGGTGTAAAGATGTTTACGATAACTTTTACGATAATTTTTATGATAAATGATCGCCATTATCATATTAATTCTTCACTAAAACATTTGCTGGCACTTTTTTGTTGGATTTTAATTCTTTTTGAACAAGGTATGTATTTGGTTTTGTATTTTATAGTTCACTTAAAATATCGAAGTGCAATGTGGAAAAAATATTTTCACCTCATGAAAATAAGTACAAAAGTAAGTAAGTACAAACATTCATTATTTGTATAATATTCAACGTTATATAGAACTGACAACTAACAACATTACAAATAGCATTAGATTTAATTTAGAAAAAGATACGACAACAAAATAGCACTTACTCATATTATGATTATCTTTCTTTTGACGATCTTTTAAAAAAGTCACATGATCAAACTTCTGCATGTTGCCGCAACCTAAAGCAATACATGTTTAAAAATATTTAAAACTTGTATATTTAACCAACATATTGCATACATGTGTGTATGATAGTTCGGCTGAATATAATACCGTACCATGGTTGTCGCGGTCATGTTGTTTTATATTTTTATTTTTCATTCTGAACTAAGCACTGCTCCCCTGTGCAGTCTATACAACGTTACTATCCCAACATTAGCATTATTTGAGATGGCCGAATCTGCATGTTCGCCCTTCTGTTACGTTTTACATTGGGTGGGGGGGGGGGGCTGCGCACTAGCTCCCCTGCACCCCCACGGCAGATCCGTCCCTGTATCCTCTATCTTGGTTTAGTCCATGCAATGCCAGACACTTGACAGTCAGCAAGACACATGAAAAATTAAGCTTTTGATCATAACTATGTTTGATTTGTCCACAAAACAGTGATTTGGCACAGTTTTAAGGACGTTGCAAGGAATTCTAATTTTACAAGGGTTTTTAAGAATATACAAGATTTCAAGGAAGACATAATCATGTGACCGATTTTGTACTTGATATCTGTTTGAACATTCAGAGCATACGCTACCCATATGTCGAACTGAAACAAGTGACAAAGAGTCGGCAATTTTTCATCAAGCCAATCACTTTTAAGTAATGTTGGCAATATTATACTATACAGGAACATTTCATTGAAAACTTGAATTCTGCCAACCTGCGCTTTCGTTTCAGATCGGCAAATGACTTTGCTGTCCTGATTTTTCACTAATTCCGAGAATTATACTTTCGGAATGCATGGTATTTGAACGAAATAATCAGAATAAAATACTTACTTTCATCAGGTTCCTGCTTTATCGTCGGCGGGCAAGACGAGGAGATGGCATCTGGTAAGGACTATAAAATCACAAGAAAATGTACACGTCTTTAGATTTGATAAATAATCTTCGTTGCCGTGTGGTCTTCGTTCTCGGACGTCTGTTGTAGAAATCCGTCGGAGATCTGGTAGGGCAGACGTCGGAATTGGATATTTTAATTTTCAGGCCAACAGAACCATCATGCCCATTGGATTTTTACTTCTACACAGCAGCCTACACTGATATCCAAGACCATGCAGTAACTACATAAATACTGGAATGATAACTCCAGGTATAAACGGTCCTATGATTGGGTGAAGCCAAGATAGCGGCCAATGGAGTGATCTCATGTAGGTATGAAACACGCGGGTATTTCGCGTGGGCTTCGTGGAAGCTTTTCCAATCAATGTTCTTCAAAGTTTGCAGATAAATGCTCATCCTTAGACTTAGTGGTAAATACCTATACCCTACTGTAAAAACTAAAAACTAAATGAAAAGGTAAGAATTATGATGCAAAAGTTTGCTGGTGTTTCTCCGCGGTTTTTTTTCTGAAAATGTTTTTCACTTTTTCACTCAAAAATCTTTGCTTCTTATGATGACGTTTTTTGCTAATGAAGTTTTTTTCTAAAATTTATTTATTCTAACCCACTTGCTCTAGTTTCTTCGGTCCATGGTAAAGCCGGACTTAATTAAAGAATAGTCGGCTGAAACATTATACTTACATAATGATTTTTCGTACTGAAGACTATTTCTGTTGATATATCATGTTTTCATTGTGCTATGTGGAGTCCTGACGCTGTATAGTGTTTTCAAAACTTGTAAAGTGAAAAGTGTATTAAAACTTTATTTCATACAGTATAACAACTTAATAGTTATTTTAGTCTTGAAGAACGAGAAATGAACATATATATTTGAGATGAAGATTGAGAAGATTCATAATCGCTTAACATTATAACTAATGACAAAGACGGTGTAATATTTTGCGTGATTTAGTCTAATTCCGGCGCGAGTCCCTATACTAGCCGAGCGTTAAATTAGGCTAGTACTGATCATGATATGAATGAACCTGCATATTTCAGATATTCATATAGAACAGTTACTTTTGTCTTGAAGAACGAGGAATCAGACGAGACAATACTATAAATTAATATATACAGTAAGCCTAATGTTTGAGTTATAATTAGCGCGCTATTATAGCTACGTTGAATAAGATTTTTAAAGAACAAGACATGAACATGTATATATTTCAGATATTCATATAACTGAAGAGTTACTTTTGTCTAATTGAAAAGAAATGAACATATATATTTGAGATGAAGATTCATAACTTATAATGTCTGCACTTGCGGCGTGAAATTTCCCCAGCTTAACGAGTCGTACGAATTTCGTTGGTCTTACTAATGCATGGCTAAAGTACAAGTGACCACAAGTCGTGAATCACGACTTTCGAATTTCACGAGTTGTTGAATTTGACAACTCGTAAAATTTCACGAATTTAACGAGTCGTACTAATATCGTGGAGGTCTTTAAGTTACTAAAATGCAGTAATGCCATGGGTAAACCACGACTCGTGTATCAAGACTTTCGAATTTCACGAGTCGTTGAATGCGACAATTCGTGAAATTTCACGAATTTAACGAGTCGTACGAATATCGTGAAGGTGTTACGAATGGCTATAAACCACGACTCGTGAATCATGACTTTCGAATTTCACAAGTCGTCGAATGTGACAGTATTGGACATGTTTGTCCGCGTAGGGGCCTAGCGCATACCTACAAGACGAACTTCAATTTCTGCCATTCTTGGCTTCAAAAACACAGCCAGAGTTATTGTTCCAGGTTTCATAGAGTTCACTGTCTAATACTTGCTCCAAGGCTCTCTTCCCTCTGTGTCACCCACAAAGCTTTTATTATCAGGCACAACGATTCGCCATTAGTCAAGTAAATAAACATTTCTATCGATTTTAGTGACTGAGTGGTTGTGAGTAATAATACTGTATAATGCTATTTGTAAAACATACCAAACAATAGAGTCGTCAGCTTCGAGTGCCGATCACATGCTTCTCTCTCATTTTATTTCACTTGTACAGTAGGTTACAATATAGTGACTATTCAGGGGCAAAACAGAGGGACTTGGACAGGCAAATTTGATTATATTGATGGGTTGGCGAAAATATATGAACTAGGTTTTGTAATAAACCTATCTTTCTCGTTGCTGCCCTCGTTGGGATCTCAATGTAAGTTATACAAAAATAAATATTCCAAATAAGGCGAGACTTTTTTATTCATTGGTTTACGGATCCGCCGACCGTAAATATTCAGAAAGTGAAAAATAAAAAAAAATTTGGATGTCAACTATTTTACGATTTTAGTTAATTTTAGTTAATTTGGGGTTCTGACATGAAGTACACGCCAAGTAAACTTTGACTCTAAGTACTACTAGCTCATTTTATCGTTGTGACAATCTTGAAAAACAATGTTTTTTAAAATTTTTTCCGCCTACCGACCTGGTTTTTTTCAAGTAAAATCCGTAAACCAATAAATAAAAAAAGTCTCGCCTTATTAATACCATATCACACTCACCCCCGCAGATACGTTCCGTCCGCCATATATGTCGGACACACTTGCTGGCAACTGAAATAAAAAACATTAATAGAAATCCCATGAATAAACCCTAAGAATAACTCATTATATTCAATTGGAAATATGACACGCCTACTCAAAAATTCGGTAAACTTTGTTATAAATTTGCCCAGTTATGCACATTGTCATGCCTAAAACATGCTTGGAAGCACTATTTAACAATTAGATTACGAGCTCGAGATTTCTATGAGGTGATAGTTGCAATTTCTATGAAGTGATAGTGCAATTTCTATGAGGCGCAATTTGGATAAAACACGAGGGCGAAGCCCGAATCAACTATCACCTCATAGAAATCGAGACAAGTACAGTAATCTAGTTGCTTTAGTAGAATCAGAGATCAAACATAAAATATTACACAAAATAATTCAATACGAGCGAGCCGGAAACCATTTTTTTTAAACATGCGCCTGGAAAATGGATCTATCGAGGAATAGATAGCGAGTAGAGTAGCCAATCAAATTACAGCATTCGCAATAGTATACTAGTATGATTCTACTTAGTATATATATTTGGATATTTACCGGTAGTGTTGAATTGGCGCCAGTGAAGTCAAAAAAGTCAAAGTTATTATCAAGTCCCATTTGGTTTGCCACATGAGTGTTCTCACCTTCAAGACTTAAAAAAAACATAGGTTACTTAAAACTTACATCGAATTAATCAAATCATACAAACATGCACAACTGAGTAAAAAGGTGGTTAATCAAATAATTTAATATGCACAAACAGACTCTTTTAGTTTGAGAGTTCGCTTAAGGCTGCATTCCAGTTAAGTCATACGTATACGTACTGTATACGCAAGGGGGGAAATAGTACGTCGTACCGTACGTACGTACTGCATGGTACTGCATACACAATAGAGAGGTTAAGATACCCCGGTTCCGGTTTACGGGTACGGGTAATATGCACGTACACGTAAATCGGGGAATAACGTGTAACTTAAGAAATCCAAGATACTCCGGCGTAAGAAAACCGATCAGAAAATGGAAACTTTCGCTGTTGAGGTTCGCCATAAATTGTTGAAAACTTTGACGAGCATATGTCCATTATTTATTTGGGTAAGACTGTTGAAAAGTTTTACTATTTAAACGGCCCACAAATAGTAAATAGAAAACACCCGTACCCGTTTGTCTTTTACGTGTAGACCATGGTTTACAGCGGGGAAACGGGTAGAAATTACGGGTAAAAATGCTGACATCAGCAAAAGTTGGTAAACAAAATGGCGATACTCGTACCCGTAAACCGGGGTATCTTAACCTCTCTAATGATGCTATACTGTACAATCCTGGTCAAAACCATTGCGACATTAAAACATTCCTCTGTGGCTTTCTATTTTAATATTAGACCAGAATAATTTTCTCGTTTGCCCCCCTCCCCCTCCATCTCGCCCCTCCCATAAAACGACGTTTTAACTGTATTCTGGGAATTCAATCAACATTGAGTGATGGGGGTGAGGTGTTTCTAGATAAACGCTATAAATTGTTCCTTACCTGATAATGTCCTCAAGTATTTCATCAACCTGAACAAATAAACATTAAATCTTAATATCTGTATACACGCTTATTTTGGAGCCATCAACAGGGAAAAATAAATAATACGTCGATATAATAGATGCATGCAACCCAGTTGCTTACCTTACCATCAGAAACAGTAATTTGTATATAGGTAATGGGATGGTTTCGAGTGCAATTTGAATAAAACATTTTTTAAAGAGCATAAAAATAGTTTCCCCAAGTTTCCCCAACTGCCCCCCTTCATTAGAATTTGAACGTTAATCAATACGGATCGATATATTATTCCTAACATATATTACTCTGAATTATATACCATTAAAAAGTATTCCAATTTTTGGTTTTTAATATCTTAACAAAATACTGCTAAACAAACGTGCAAACTAGTTACAGCACTATGCTGTATGCCATTTTGAATTGGCTGCATTATAATTATAATATTATATAGACGAAAAGCTATTCGCTCACGATTAATGAGCGAATAGCAAGGCAGATTTCTGACGCAATTATAGAAAGGGTGAATTGGCTAAGCCAAAATACTTACTTCTGATGGTTCCGTAGAACTGGCAGCGGACATAGGGCTATCAGGGGGTTTCATTGCTCCCACCATGCCAAGGCCATCGCCAACAAACGGCAATGTAGCCATATTATTGATAGCATTTAATGTGGCATGAGATGTAGGTGGTGTAAACCCTTGTGATGGAGTAGTTCCATGTTGGTTGATATATTCCTTCAGTTTTCGCTCTTGAGTTTTATACACGTAATATTTGGTGGGATTTTCTAGCTTGGTTTTGAACTGCGGTAGCATAAAAAATAAAAGGGTTCATCGTTAATTTACTGGGGCCGGTTGTTCAAAGCTGGATTAGCTCTAACCCTGGGTTAAAATTTACCTGCTGTTTTAGTTTATGTATTTTTACACATCTGTTTATTTCAAAACTTTAGACAAGAAAACTCTTACCGATACAGACAAGACGTCTGAAGAAACATTTCCAAATTTATAATACCTTTGTTTGTGGAAACACCACGTAAATTTAATACTGCAAATTATTACTGCAAATTATTATACAAATATTTTTGCAGTATTAAATTTACGTGGTGTTTCCACAAACAAAAGTGTTATATGTTTTATCGCCATGCAAACCTACAAAGAACTTATTTCCAAATTTATAAACAAGCTGTTAGGAAGTTTGCTTTGAATTTTAACTTAACCTAGGGTAAAGCTAATCGGTTTTCAAACAACTGGCCCCTGGAGACTGTGCATGAAGGTAAAATGCCTATGTACTGTAGAATGTGAAAATGGAACATAAAATTATTCTATTTAGGTGGGATGACGGTCAAGTTTAAAGGCCCGTTTACACAGGGGATTTTTGCTGCGATTTTAGCTGCGATTTTCTCCTTTTGGAGAATGTGAAGGAGTTGATGAGTTATATGTTCCAGGTTATGAAATCCCATAACAACATCATTAAGTAATCTACTCCTTCAGATCCCCCAAAAGGAGAAAGTCGCAACTAAAATCGCAGCAAAAATCGCCCGTGTAAACGGGCCTGAAGTTAAATTGAAATATACTTGAAAACCTCCATGAGGGAATTTCAAAAAAATATATAACAGGGTGACTGTTAATCTCAGTAAGACTTGACTGCATTCATTGTTGACTGCATTCATTGTTGGACTAACGATTCAAAGTGGCGCTCGAGTTCGAGGTCGGTTGGGTGCATGTTCACCAAATAACTTTATTTTCACTGCCTGCATGTTAGTCATCCTTATTAGCATACACTCAACCATGGTCTATTATAAACCCAACATTCTGATTCGCTACTGAGCTATGCACCATGCATTAGGTAACGGGGGAAACCATAAAAGATGACGGCAAACTTTCGTTTTGCAAACGTCTCGAAGAATTTTTTGGAGAAATTTCTTTCCCTGAGAAACCAAAAATACTACCAGACTCTGGTCTGACCGATATGGCCATTAAGTGGGAAGATCGAACCTTGCATGATAGCAAGGGTGAAAGATGTCTGCACTATAACTACAGTGGCAGTCCCGCAAACGTTTTCTGTTACAGACACCTCTCTTCCTCTCTCGAACTAGCTGTAACTGTTATAGTTTTCAAAATGTTATCCTTACATTTAACACAGCAGGCGGTATGTGTGGAGGAAGAGTCTCCGTAGGTCTTGGGAACGGAATCGAAATTTCCGAGGTCTGTTCAAGTTGCCGCAGTCTTTCTTGTTCCTTCTTTTTCTGCTCTTGCTTGAGCAAGTGCTCACGTTGAAGCGCAAGCTTCTGCTGGGTTCGACTCATTGAGGCCATTTTGTTTTCTACTGGTTTTAATAATTCACTTAATATTGCATCAGCACCTATACCAAGACTCTTGACTGGCGGTTTGCTGAAAATAGAAATGAAAGAAAATGTTATCAATGGCAACGATGGGTCTATATGTTCAATTTGGATGCGAGTGGAGGATGCAGATTTTGCAATGCATGCACCATATGGTTAAATGAACATTTTGCCAAGCCTTAAGCTGCTTTTAATGGACCATTTGCATTATAGACTAAATGTTGATCTAGACAAAAATTTCATCACAGCTTGATCATGAAAGAGCATCACAAAATTAGTAATATTCCAAAGTTTCGTTGCGAAATGTTGTAAAATGCGGATAATATAGCCTTACGAAGTTTGCCGTTTTTCAGTCATTTTGTATTACGCACGGGAAATTGACAGCCCAATCGGGTGTTGGGGCAACAATTTCTCGTTTGTAATACAAAATGACTGAAAATTGCAAATTTCGCAAGGCTATATTATCCGCATTTTACAACATTTCGCAACGAAACTTTGGAATGTTGCTAATTTTGTGATGCTCTTTCAAGCTGTGATGAAAATTTTGTCTAGATCAAAATTTAGTCTATAATGCAAATGGTCCATTGTGAAACTATGTATTTTCCCTATAATAATTTACTTATGATTCACTTCTGTATCCTGGAGGGGTACGAATCATACAAATACATGGCAGAATTTATATTCAAATCATTTAATGCGTTCAGTTACTCTTCTCCCGTCGCGACAATCGCGTGTTTATAATCGTCCGATAAATATACAGAAAGACAGTCATACACTTGATTTAATGAAAATGCGAGTGGCTTTCTTATAAATATACTAATTCTCACTAAAATTCTGAGCCAGCCAAAGTTACTTTACAAACACCATTTGTTAAAACAACTTTAAAAAGAATATACATTTTTGTAGTCAGGAGCGACTAAAAAAGTGATGGGGGGGGGGGGGTCCGTGCCAGTCACATCAAGTGGCCTGAAGAACGACACACCGAGAATTCTTCTCCAAGAAATGTTTGCATTATAGGGTTTCTGAAATGCTACCCCCATACAGAAGAAATATTCAGACTTCCATCGGTTAAAAACACATACTATAATAAACTTACTATATAATAATAGCCTTTTAAAAAGTGGAGAGGGTCAAAACATTTGGCTTCTTTCTTTCACTTTTTGGGTGCTTTATCAATAAATGCTTATTTATAATGTTTATCGTAACTTGGTTGTTTTAGCTGCAAAATTTATTTTATAACTTCCGCCTCGGCTTTTCAAAATTAAACACAATGCTTTAAAATATACAGAACTTTTTTTAACACTGAGGACAGTTTCGTAACTAGGCCCTATGTAAAAATAGTCAAATTACACATCACATGCACAAGAAGTGTCTAGACGATCAAATCGGTATATTGGAGTGAAACTAACCGTCACCTGATATATGAATGATCCTATTTACATGTATAACAACATGCATTTCAATGTTATCAAGGGTCTACGGAAAGGCCTATATACGAAATTATTTGACCTGTATATATATACACTGAGATGCTTCAAAATTTTAACAGGTACCAACTAAATTTGTTGATTTTGTGCTACATATTAATTGTGATTAAAAAGAGAAAAAAATTCATTCTATTGAATCCTAATAATATCCCCTTTATTGCACGATATTGGCTTTGCTTCAGATCACTAGTGATCCGATCGCCCACGCTTTCAGTCTTTGGGTATATATAACGGCTTGCTGTTTATCACATGCATGCATGCAAAGGCACTAAATATAGTTGTTAATATATGTAGCTAGGTGAACACCAAAGGTGATTGGCTGATTTGTAGGTGAACACCAAATGTGATTGGCTGATTTGTGGTCACGTGGCTTTAGACAAATGCAATGTACTGATCCCGCCGGGCAGCAAGTGAAAAATTGTTGCCCGCCCGACCGGCTACGTACATAAGTAAACAAAATGGCGGCACAACCCGCAAGTTTATAAACGACAATTTTCCAAGTTTGTGTTAAAATAAAGAATGTAAAAGAGAAGAAAAATACACAACAGGCAACAGGATATGCTGCTTACATTATAGAGTTTTTGTCATGAAATACAATTGTTGTATGAATGTTGACTTTTCTTTCATCGCTGTACAGGGTGTCCCCCCAAAATGTCCCCTCCGACACTCTGTCTCTGTTGTTGGTCAATTACTCTAACTTATACAGTAGTAATTAAGCAACAACAGAGGGGACTTTTTTGGGGACACCCTAGCTGTATATAAACAAAACACTTAAGAGTTAAGTTATTAATGTTTGTTCCCTCGGGAAATAGTTAGTTTTGTTTCCCCTCGAATCTCGAGACTTTGTCTCCGGAAACATTGAGGGAGATTATTAAGTGTATACAATCTCGTTCCCCGAGCCTGCGATCCTCGGGAAGGAACGAGGAATCTGATTGGCCGTTGATATGGAATGCACAGTTCGGTCTTAGCCAGGATTCCTGGCTTCCGGCAACGGATTATCCCAGAGCCTCGCGTTCCTTCCCGAGGATCGCAGGCTCAGGGAACGAGATTGAAACGTATATTGTTTGCCAAAAGGTCATGGGGCCAAGTAAAGGATTCATTGCAACCAATTATTAACTAAACTTTACCGAGTCATTACATAGAATAAATCCAATTGGTCAAACGAGGACATACTGTACTATATTCAACAAACTAAACATTGTTAATAATATTTAATATATATTGCAAAACAATGCTGTTACTCTGCAAGAATGATTGCATACGCATTTCCAAATATGAAACTAACAATACTCAAGGCCAAGCAGGGTGGAATGTATTTTATTTGTTGATATACGTAGGTCGATGACAACAGATTGTTCGAACAAGTTTAAACATGCTTGTTATTGACAACTTGGCACAAGCAATACAAACGCAAAAGGGAAAAAATTGCGCTACAGGGATTTGCAGGCAGGTATGGATCCACCTCAGACCTCACGTCATCGAGCGTCGCGAAGTCGGATGAATGAATTTGAAAAAAAAAAAACTTCCAAGTTGACAATTCGAATTTATCCAACATCCCAATCCCATGGCCAAGACTCTTTGTCCTTTGTCTTTGAAACCCTGGGGTATAGCTGGAAACCACATAACAATTCAGGGGTCGAAATTTAAATTTTTTTATACTATACAGCCGGAATAGTAGTTTTTGAAATTTACTATTCCGTCTGAAAATCCACTATTCCTTAATGTACTGTTTCTGAGAGCCTGTTCACGCAGGGTCCGCGTTAATGTTCTGATTTTCGTAAACATGTACAGTTATGGTACAAATAAAAAACGATCTATTCTTATTTGCCACACTCGGATGAGCAAGATAAAATTCACAAAACATTTTGTCAAGTTCACTGTTGTAGGTTACCCAGTTAAATTTATCTTTCCACGACGGTACAAACTTTCGTGCTCTTTTTGTGCGGTCATACGCATTGTCTCTCGACTCTCGCCTTTTTGTTATTGTCCAATTTTTGGAGCTTGGCTGACGGTTCTCTACGCCTGATACATACTGCCACTGATTTTGTATAACGTTTGAGTCGTAAAAACTAAACGCTAAAGTCGTTTTTGACGACAGGCCAGGCCGGCGCCAGTTTGTCTGTCATGTTATTGTAGCAAAGTTAATTAAGTTAATATTGCTGTAAAGAAATTAGAATACCCAAGTACTGCACGCGAACAAGAACTTAGCTACGAACTGGAACAGTCCGGTATAAAGTGATATATTATACAACTCAAGAGGAAAACCCTTGCTTGTCCATATTTGGTACCACAATTTTTTCTACTATACAAACGGAATACCGTGATCATGAAGTTTACTATTCCGTCAGGCATTTTACTATATTCGGAATAGCGGGAATTTCGACCCCTGCAATTTGTTGCGTTTTCATGCACTTCATCATAAACGAACTATTTTTAACTCGTAAAACATGCAAATGTCACGAGCTGCATTACTATTGTCTGAGACATTGGATACAAAAACGTGCAAATTACACCCTTCAGATAATAACACAGTACAAACATGTGATCAGTATTATTATGCATGATCAGTATTATTATGCACGTTTTGTTGATACAGCAGAATTCTTCGTTTACAATGACGTAATTTTGGGATTTCAGTTGACGGGCAGGAAAAACCAAAAACGGCTATTTTAATGCAGTGATCAAGTTTAGAGACAGTTTTAAGACTCAAAAGATGAATTACCGTTCAGTTTTTCTTTCTACGATCATTCTAATAGGAGAAAAATCGTCCACAAGTTGCATGAGTATGTCACTGTTATACTAAAACGTTTGTAATTACAAGGATGAAATTTAAAGAGATCAATATAAACATCCTCATACACGTACATCTAAGTAAAGTGATTAATCCTCTATACTGGCTAACCACTAAACTACTAAATTCTAAAAAGGACATTATTTGCTATATTTAAGCAATTATACTGTATTACAACTACGTCGTCAATACCAAAAGTAGTTCAAGAATTTGTCCAATCATGCATACTACTTTATGTATGCAGTACTTGTCAAGTGGAGTATGCTGGCCCTCAGTGGGTTAACCAGACTAGTCTTTTAACCTGTTTGCCTATGTGTCTAGTTAACCCATTATGTTGCATTGCACCCAGTAATGTGCCTACCTTATTATTTTATTCTGTCTAATGTCAGACGATTTCACACATCAAGGGGGGAGCACTTGGCTTGCACTCAATGGTTTAATATTAGAGGTTATTAGTATTACATTTATGTGGTTGTAAGTGTGTTATATATTGAAGTATATAACTTGAAACATACTGTATTCATTGACATATATTTCAAGATAGAAATTCTGGACGCACTTATTTCTGTAACACTTTCTACTGTTTATGTCAGACAGTAGTTTTAAAAAACTGCCAACAAATGGCGCTAATGTGTAGTAGCTAAGAGCAAGTGAGCAACACTTTTATCTGATTACTCCTACACCTGGGTAAACCACTTCCTCTGTGAATCAAGTGAAGGCCAAGGCTACTGTAGCTTTGAGACAAATCTTGTGCAACTAACTTCATCATGTATGCAGTGGTGCCATCAGTGTTTTATTTTAGAGGGCAACATAATTCTGTAGTCACAATTGTAGGGGGTCCGGGGGCATACTCTGCCAGACAAAAATTGCATTTGGGTCTCTGCCAGGAAAAATGGCATTTTGCTGCGTTGTGGAGACACTTGGAGAAAAGGTGTTAATAACTGAGACACCTCTTAACAGCTTCAAATATTGATTTCAAAATACTTGACAATTTGTTCAGTGGGAGACACACTGGGCAGACGTACAGTATAGCTTTAGAACAAAGTTCAGTAGATTCTACACAAAGATGTATGCAAGATATACTTCCACTTCCATCAGATTTGAACAAAACTAAAACTACGCTGTGTCAAATACTGCCAAATATTCAATCAGTATTTGGTAGTTTTCCAATATTGAAACAGCCTACTTGGAAAAGTTGACTATAAGCTACCAAAGTTGGTCCCATTGAGCTGGCACACTTGCCCTTTGACAAGTAAAATTTTCTGGCATAAGGCAAAGTAAAATAATATTATTAATCAAGTAGGGAGCATTGGGGCACAATGCAACTTAATGGATTACAGTAACTGCTAGACACAATTTGGCAGATAGTCTGATTATAATAAGTTCCCATTGAGCACTAGTACTCTCCTCTTGACAATTAAAATTGTCTGGCATTAGGCAGGGTACAATAATAAAGTAGGGTGCATTGGGGCACACTTTGGAAAGCTTTAGCAAAGACATTTATAAGATTGCTTGTTTCAAAGGTTAGTGTCTTAGTATATTTATCAAAATTTTTTCACATACAGTGGTTCAGAAACTAAAACCTGCACTGAACTCCAGTGCAAAGTCCAATTTGTATTTCTGGCATTATGTCATGTAGCATTTGTGTTATTCACACTCAATACCAAAATATTTAATATTTTAAAAAAATATTTATTAAATATGATTAGTAGACCACATCAGCCAATTTCCAAGTTTGATAACCTTTCATAAACAATTTAAGCATTGTTAATTAAAGTTCAATGCCAATTTTTTGTCCTTCAGTGCCAAGTTGAAGATGCATGTTAATGTAAATAAGAAATGCCAAACCTGTAATATTGGGTATTATAATGTATTTACTTGCTAAAGTGTCACAATGGATAGTATTATATAAGTGTTTGATAATTATGCAAAAATTATATTATAATTATATTAATTTGATTATTATAAATAAGTGCTCAAAGATTGCAGTCAAATCTTTGAGGGCATTTAATCAGCAGCAATTACAGCCATTTGCCATTGCACATTTCCATAGCTGCAATTTAAAATACTACTTACATGCAACTGGGTTACCTTAGGTTGAAAGGTTTGACCCTTGATCACAGAATAGATACTAGACCAGAATGGTCATGCACTCCTATGTGTTTTGGCTTGGGAACAACGTCCAAAATTTTTACGTACGTGCTGTGACGCCATCCTGGAGTACACACAGCACTTTTGTACCTATGTTTGTACCTATGAAAAACTTCCATGTGCACTCCAGGATGGCATCATATGATGGCGTATTTTCACGTCAGCACTCGTAAAATTTTGGACAAAATATCGTCCGAGTGACCCTTCTGGGCTGGTATCTATTCTGTGCATTGATCGAGGTATCACAGGTACGGTAGGGTTGATACCAGAGTGGCATGAGGTTACAAAATTTGTTGGCACATTTGGTGTGAGATTACTCAATGCCGTTGGACCGTATATATTGGTGCGACACTACTTTACAGTCTTTAAAGCACACAGGATTGTCAAGTTTTAGTCTTTTTGAAATATCGGTGTGATCATTCATGCCATCCCACACACCACACTGGAAAGTAGGCCACTTTAGCCTGAGATCTCCTGTGGCAGGCTAGCAATTTTGCAATACTAATTACTAATAAATTTCTGTTATTGCAGCAGTTCTCCTGCGACAGCTTGTTGCTGCTGCTTTCCACCCAGGCCACACATTGATAGCCAACCCATGCTCGCATAAATGATCCCTAAGACGGTAGTAAAATGCTTAATGTATTAAAGTGTTTAATGTAATAAATTAAAAGGCAATGGTTTTTCTTCTAACTACACAGACAAAAAGCTAAATAATGAAGGAAATTTTGGGGAACCCCCATTAATATTTTCAACCATTTGAAGCATATTATTTATATGGCTTTTCAAGGTAGTTTAGGGGTTAGCACACACAATGCGATTTTGTCCTTTTCTTTCAATAATAAAATCAGGAAACTGGCTTAATAAACTATAAACATAGACTCTTTGAACTTTAACAAACAACATGTAATGAAAATTCTGTATCCAAATACAAATCACTAACAAATGTAGCAAAATGTCGAACGTCATAAAAACAAACACCCCATTTTAAGTTTCCATCACTACCAAATCGATCGGGCACATGGTACAAAAGGAAGCTTTTGCAAAATGGTATATTTCCGAATTTGCCATGTGGCAATCGACATTCAACCGAAGAGCAGAACGTACTTCCTTCCTTTTTGTATACAACTTGTCGGCCAAAAATTAGGTTCGTGCTCGATAGAAAACAACAACAAAAAACCGAGAAATGATATTTGCATGCAAGCACACGCATCCCTGGGCTTTTCGAAGCATAAAAAGTCGTATAAATACCTTATGACATCGTCCAAAGTGCGAGACTGAATCTCGTAGAAGCCAACCTTCGGCTGAAATTCTTCGATGATATCGTTCAAAATATCAAATTCGAGGTCGACACCAGATTCTTGCATTAGGTTGCTTTAGGAGAACTACTGAGCTGTATTTCAAGATTATCGCGGAGAATCTGTGTACAATCTAGAGTCGTAGAACGCTGCATTTGAAAAACAATCTTTACTACACGATTTCCTGCTTCGACATGTTGATGTTGATGCTTCATAAACCCAACCCCCTACGCGTCGCTGATTGGCTCGCTTGTAGGAATGACGTAATTGTAAACAGTTTGATGAAATAACTAGTTACGTCATTGTAACTCAACTAGTATGACTACAAGAAGTTTCTGTTTCACCCTCTTTATTCAAGTTTCTGAAAAAGCATTCAGTGATGAGTATGTATTGAAAATAAAACTAGTAAAAAGGTCTTTAAAAATTGTTTAACTAAGGAAGTTTAAATTTCCACGAAAACGAGAATGCGTGGATGAACAGAACTAGGGCGTTTCCTTCCCGGAAATAAAGCGGGGGAGTTTCGAAGTAACTAAAGTACCGTGAAATGAACAATAGTTAATATATTACTGCATTTACAGTATATAATTTACAATTTTTGAACGGCGAAATTGGCGCAATACTTCAGGTCAGGACTTTGAGTCTTAGGCAATGGGTATTTGGGTTTTTTACTTTGTCAAAATTAAAACCGTGCGTGTGCGATTTTTCAACCCGCTTTGTCAGGACAGCTTGTCAAAAAGCAATTACACGGGGAAAACGCGAAATTTTCAACTCGGTTAAGCGAGTTGGCTCGGCAAACAACAGCCCTGACAGCCGCAGTCCCAGCAAAGCAGGCCAGCTCGGTTCTCGTTTGACCGAAATTTTGAAACAAGAGGTAATAAATAGGTTAACCGCGCCAACTCGCTTCATGTAACCAGTCCCTGTATCTTGAGACTAAAGTTAGTGAGCCTCCCCCCCCCCTAGCCCGCGTGCAGGCCCAAGGAAAGAATAGTGGGCCTGCAAGCAAGGCCCAGTATTTTGTACTTTCCGCGTTCGCCCACGAACGCGGCATTCTGATTGGCTGTTTGCTGTTGGATTCTATAATTAGATCACTGATTCATCACAAAGGCTCTCGATAAGCTTAAAATTCGAAAATTGATCACTTTTTTCGATTAAAAATGGAACAAGAACAGACTGTTTATTGTTTGCTTGAAGAAAGAGATGTTTTTGCCGTTATGCCAATGAGTCAAATGTCCGAGTCATTGTTTAATCGATGGTCTTTGCAGTTCAATGACTTAGTACCCTAATGCTAACCATAATCCCACTCCTAATTTACCATAACCCTATTCAACTGTGAATTTTATTCAATTTCGGAGTTTGTCGGTTACTGGCCGACTCAAATCCGAGTTCGAGTCAAATGTCCGAGTCACTGTTTAACTGTCTTTGTCGGTAAAATGACTTAGTACCCTAAACCTACTCCTAACCCAGACTGCATTTTCTCCACCGCGCGCGGAAGATCTTCCGCGCGCATTCTTGATGCTTTCTATATATTTACTATTAAATTTTCGAAATCTTCCGCGCGCAATTTCCAAACTTTGCAGTCTGGCTCCTAACCCTATTCGACTGTGAATTTTCTTCACTTTCGTCTTTTTTTTACGCGACTCGGGCGTTTGACTCGGGCTCGGGACTGACTCGGACTCGGATTTGACTCGGGAAATGGATTTACTCTGCACTGAAGAAAACAGCGCTTTTCGCGGTGAAGATTTAGAGGCAGTTGCATGTATAAAGCCTATTCGAAACACTTTGCGATTTGCAAGGCTTCGCTGAGAGAGCGAAACAGAAGACGGTAATTATAATTGCCGTTTGAAACGAAACGATCTGGACTCTGAACCCTCTCTTCTTTTGTACAGTCCTTTAATACCAAATGAAATAACTGAAATAAATTTCGTACTTTCCGCCGCCAACAAGAATTGCACACACGATCTGATAAGTGAGACAATTTATTTATAACAACGGCGACAGCGAAGCACACATTTAAATGCTAATGTGGTCGCACGACTTCCCTCACGATTTGAAGTTTGAGACTGGTTTTCTGTTGAAATTCGTCCTAATTTGCCTGTTCCGATTTTAGTTGAAAATGAGCACTTGCAAATTTGGCAATTACTGACTGCGTTGCTTGCTTTTTTGGAGTTAAAACACAGCCATTTACACATTGTTTCTATTTTGAATATTAAAGCAGAGAAAACCCCGCAACATTTTAATGCGAGTTTGTTCGTTAATATTTGGGTTGCTGTCATTGGTTCTTTTTTGACAATTGACGCGCGAATGGGGAGTGTTGTGAAAAGGGACGTTTTACAAAATACCGGGCCTTGCTTGCAGGCCCACTATTCTTCCCTTGGGCCTGCACGCGGGCTACCCCCCCCCTTTCCTCATCACCCCAGAACAAAGCCGTCAAAGCGGTTTAGATTAAGTCGAAGCCCCAAAGCCAAGGACAAATTATTGCCGAGTTTGCACGCTCATACATATGGGCCCGGATTTTATTCCTGACCGAGTCCTAAAACACTGTTGCACCCAAAACGTCATGAAACAGTGCAAAACTATCTTCCACAGGCATATATTATATTTTCTCTTTAAATCTCGCTTTCCCACCAGACGCCAGTCTTAACTTAGCTACAACAGGTGTAACATAAAGAATTAGTCAGACTGACGTCATTGTTGTCTGTCGAAGCGAATCTGAGGCGCATAACATTGACCAAGTCTCATCCAATAATTGTTTAATATACGTGAACCGGTGTTTTCCACAACCAAAACACTGTAAATTAAAAAATCTTCATCCTTAGAATATTGCATTTAGGTGGAATTAAAAAAAACATTTAAATGGAAATAGCAATAAAAATTAATTTTCCCCCATTTGAAAGAGAAATTCAATGAATTTCAACATCTAGTTACAGATTTTCTTTATTGTTCTTGGTATAAAAGGTATGACTCTTCAGTTCATTGCAAACAAAATACTTCTTGGATATTTATATCCATCGTCAGATATGCGTGACGTCACAACCGTAAGGTCCGTAACCTGTGACCAGGCCCTCGAAGCAGAGCCCTCGAAGGTAAAATTATTTTGTATCTTGAGCAATTCTCATTTCTCAGGTCATTTTAATGGTAACTGCTATACTTTCTAATACTGTCTATTTTAAATTAAAGCTCAAGCTATGTATAAGCATTCGACTGATTTAGTTTTAAAACGTTTACCCGGGTTGTGGTGTCTTTTAACTAGATCTAAATATCTAATTATAAAACTATTAAAACAAGATGGGGCGGGATATACCAGAATGTTTTGGTTCCAAATATCTCAAAAATTAAGATAGTTTGAGAATATTTGAAGAAAGAATTTGTGAATAAATCTCAATGTCCTTCCAAATTAGAAAAACACAATTTTTGTTGCTAGTTCCTTTAATAATACATCTTCACATGCACAGCTGCGCATTTGAAATCAGTATTGTTTCCAAGACATTACGGCTGCATTCTTATTGCGCCGTCTATCCGTACCACCTCTCCGTTCATCATGGGATTTTCAATAATCGCAGCGACCATGTGAGCATAGTCCGATGGATCACCGAGACGGTTTGGAAACGGCACGCTCTTCGCTAAAGCATTCTGCACTTTCTCAGGTAAGCCTTCAAGTAACGGCGTTAAAAATAATCCTACAAGAAACAACAATGTATATTTTACACCAGGTAATGAACTCGTACGCCTGTATTCTAAAAGCTCACTCACACTCAATGAGTGGAGGTTCAATCTGAGCTTTTCTTGAGTGTCAATGCTGTTGTTGAATAGCTGGAGGGTGAATAGTCACATAGTAAGGTACGACACTAACCCTCCAGCTATTCAAAAACAGCATTGACACTCAAGAAAAGCTCAGATTGAACCTCCACTCATTGAGCGTGAGTGTGAGTGAGCTTTTAGAATACGGGCGGTATAATCTTGTATCTGTTTATATGAACGAAACCAATGCATCTAGCGTACCAGTGGATAATCCAAACGAACGTAAGTTGTGTGCATAAAACGATACATTCTATGCGTTTTTGAAGGACCAGGATTAGTTGCATCGTCGCCCCAAAGAATACATATAAATGTAATGGAATTTTTAAGAGCACTTACAGCTTACATAACGCAATATAGAAAAACAGAGCAGAGTATAATTGATCATAACATCAGAATAAACACTTTACCTGGTGCTACGGTATTTACTCTAATCCCATGTCTTGCGAGATCTCTTGCGATTGGCAGTGTCATTCCTACAACTGCTCCTTTTGATGCGGAATAAGCAACTTGTCCAATCTGACCTTCAAATGCTGCTACACTGGCTGTGTTTATTATCACTCCCCTCTCACCTCCTTCATCTGGCTCATTGTTCATCATCTCTTCAGCAGATAGACGAATCATATTGAAAGTACCAAAGGTGTTCACCTGGGATATATAAATGAAATAATTAAGACCTGAAGGCAGTGTTGTTATCAACTCGAGTTGCTATTTAGAGTCCATTACGAAGAATTACTCCACTCAAAAGTCCCAAACAAAGTCGACTCGGAGTCGATTTGTAGATGTCTGCCCTAAATAACTTGAGTCAACTCAGCAACAGCATGTTCAGATTGAATTCATCAACAATATATTATGGTCAGGAAACACAATGACTGAAAGAGCTGAAGAAATTCTTCTCGATACTGAGCATGCACTGATCATCTGATAGCTGACTCACGTTGCACGTTATGCTAGTTGTATAGACTGCAGTTGACAGAAAGTATGGGTTGGACTTGATCAAATTCCATGACTCAACTCAAGTTCGGCTAGTGACTCGACTCGAGCTATTGACTCGATCTAACAGGACTTGTGACACTACACAACGTTTGCCTAAAACTGTCGCATGCACCATGCTTACAAGTTACAACTTGAGCTGTACTGTGTAAATCAAGCACACAACTGGCCTACCTTGTCTATTTATATGTTTATTAACTTTGCCAGCATAAAATTACAATAACAATTAAAAATTATAACAAAAAAATATTATGGCCAGGTCACCGCAACAGCTTATTGCCAATTACTGCGGGCCCAATTAGTTACAATCAAGCAAACAACAGACATTCAACTGGACAGACTAACAAACATTCGAACAAACTACAGGTATATTAGTTTATAATAGCAGCAGGATATCGGATATATGTAAGACTTCGTACAGAGTTACAACTTACATTTCGGGCATATAGTTTTAAATGTTCGAGGATTATCAGGATTATAATTAACTTCTAATGATTCATGATAATATTCCATTACAGTATAAGGCTGATCTAAAGAAATTGAAGCAGTTCCTGTCAGTGTTTCATATTGGACACGTTCAGACGTTCTGACAAAAAAAAACCCGACTGCTGGTAGGTACTGGTTTTACATTTTCGAACAAGATATTTAGCGTTATTACTGGATGATGATCGTAGCAGACATCAGTTTCTTGGGAGGCATACCCGAAATGAGATCCAGTGCAAGATACAATGTTCGTCTTACTTTTGATGAATATAGTATTTCTTCTTATGTAACCTAACAGTTGGTGAACTTGCGTTTTCCACGTAGAGTTTGATTATATATATACATGCACCGAGATCTCTGTCAGTGTCAGTGTCAGTGTCAGTGTCAGTGTCAGTGTCAGTTGTGTCTAACTGGTGATCGCTTGTTATGTTGACGTTATTGGTCTAATCTTCCTTGTTATTCGTTGCTGCTTGCATTTCTTTTCATTAAAGGTCAAACCAGATACAGATGACCAGTGTTCTAAGTTTCTAAGATCACTTTGAAGTAACATAGCATCATCCTGGCATTTGACAGATGAAAATAACTTTGTGTCGTCTGCAAACATGGCTACTTCGCTGGTCTTTACTGAATCACGAAGATCGTTGACATACAGCAAAAATAGCGCTGGTCCAAGAATAGAGCCCTGCGGGACACCTGATGATATAGGAAGTGTGTTTGAGGTGCAACCAAGTACCATTACACGCTGACAACGATCCGATAAGTATGACTGAAACCACTTTAGTGAATTACCACCGAAGCCTTAATTTCTCAGTTTAGTATTACTAATTAATTTCTTGTGATTAATCCGATCAAAGGCTTTAGACATATCGAGGTAGATCGTATCTACCTGTCCCTCGTCGTCCAGAATCCTCAATATGGTCAAATGCCTCTAAAAGATTTGTTACACAGGATTTACCTTGAAGGAACCCGTGCTGACACTTACTAATCTCGTACCCAGACGAACGGGCATACTCTGGGTACGAGATTAATTATTGGGACAAATGGCACTTGATGTTCATATATACACAACGTTCAGCTATTTCGAAACAATCAACAAAAGTGAGATCGGTCTGTAGTTTTCGCAATGACCTTTTTCACCTTTCTTAAATACAGGTACAACATTTGCTAGCTTCCATTCTTCTGGAACTGTGCCAAGGCGTAAAGATCTGTTAAGTAAAGAGAGGGAGCAAGGATGGAGGCATTTCATCGGGACCGCGGTTGCTTTGTTGCTATCAAGAAGTTTAAGTAAAGTTTCAATTTCCAGTTCACTCACAATTACTTCGTATATGAATGGGTCAGTACTTGCATGGCTCTTCAGATTGATCAGATAAGTTGTCTGTTCCAAATACTGATGCAAAGTATTATGTTTTAGTTATATGAAGTATTGATATATAGTCATAAGTCACGTGTATGGAAGACAAAAATATAGAGATACAATAATGCATGGCGACGAGAATGGTCAAATAATTCGTGATTCTCAGTAGTTTTATACGACGAGCATGGCGACTGCTTTGCCAACTTTTCCGGAATTTAATTTAAGAGATCAAAGTAATTTAGCTGCCCGATGGGAGAAATATTTGAAGCGATTTACCAACCTTATGACGGCAATGAATGTTACCGATGCAAGTCGAAAACGTGCTTTGCTTCTACATTATGTTGGCGAGGAAGTGAACGATTTATTTGAGACGCTGCCAGATAAGGGAGACGATAAAGATTTTAAGAAGGCGTACGAAGCTCTCACCCAATATTTCACGCCGAAAAAGAATGTGTCGTTTGAGATCTTTAAGTTTCGAAATTTGAAGCAAGAAATACATGAAACGGTCGATGCCTTTCACACACGTTTACAGATTGCCGCAAAATACTGTGAATTTGGTGATAACAAGGACAAGGAAATCAAAGCGCAGATAAAACTCGGGACAACAAGCAAGAAACTGCGACGATATTCGTTCCGTTCACCAGCTTTGTCATTAACTGAACTGTTAGACTACGTCAGGACCATCCACGAAACAGGAAAACAAGCTAAAGGTATTGAAGCAGCACCGCGTGAATTCCCTACATCATACTGCAATCGTGAGAGCGACGATATTCACAAAGTCCAATCAGAACGACCAACGAAGCGATATACCAATTCTAGAAACAGGTTTAAACGAACAGCTATACAACTATAAACCCTGCCATTCGAGAAAATCTGCCATCACAACCGACGAAGCGTTGTTTTCGTTGCGGAGGCACATGGGCCCATAATGGCGGGAAATGCCCAGCTGAAGGACAGCGCTGTAACAACTGTTCCAAGTACAATAATTTTGCACGAGTTTTCAAATCGAGAAACCAAAACCAAAATGAACATTCTGCCAATGCTGTACACAGTACCCACACAGTACAACTCAAGATTCCCAACCACCAAGCACAAATTATGATCAGGACAGTACAGACAGTGAGGAGTATAGCTTCAACATACATGCAACCAATACAAAGGAACAGAACAAACAGTCCTACTACGCAAAGGTAAAACCAGGCAAGTCAACTATTAAATTCCAAATTGACAGTGGATCAACAGCCAATATAATCGATGAAGTTACTTTTGCCAATATTCAAAAAGAGAACCCCTCAATCCAACTGACAAAGTCAAAAAAACGCCTTTTTGCCTTTGGTGCTGTAACACCACTTCAACTGCTTGCCAATGGACAGTTTCATTGTGTATTAGAATCGAAGAAACGACTTGCCTATGCCACCATCATAGTTGTCAAGAATGCTACTGGTTGTCTACTGAGTGGAAAGACATCTATTGACTTAAACTTTCTGACAATTCGAGTAAACAAGGTAACTACCAAACCTGCAACCTTCAGTCAGTTATCAAAACACAAAAAACTCCCTGACCGTTTAAGACCTGTAATTTCTGAATTTGATGAAGTATTTCATGGGGTTGGAAAATTGAAAGATGTTCAAGTTCATTTACATATTTGACAAAAATGTAAAACCGGTGGTACAGCCCACAAGAAGAATTCCATTTGCTCTCCGTCAGAAAGTTGCATATGAACTGGAGAGGCTACAACAGTATGACATTATTGAACCAGCTCAAGGACCAACATTGTGGGTAAGTCCAATAGTTGCTTTCCCAAAACCCAATAACCCAGAGAAACTAAGACTTTGTGTCGACATACGCCAAGCGAATACAGCCATTTTACGTGAGCGGCACCCTCAACCAACAATTGAGGACCTTCTTAATGATTTGAATGAAGCTCGATATTTCAGTAAATTAGATTTGACAGCTGCATATCACCAATTAGAACTTGATAAACAATCTCGGTATATTACAACATTTACCACACAGAAAGGGTTATTCCAATTCAAGCGTTTGAACTTTGGAACAAACAGTGCCAGTGAAATTTTCCAAAACACAATTCAGAATGTTTTCAATGGCATTTATGGTTGTCGTAATATTAGTGATGATCTAATTATTTTTGGCAAGACTCCAAGTGAGCACGACGAAGCATTACGTAAAGTTTTACAAGTTGCCAAAGAGCGAAACTTACGATTTGGATTTGAAAAGTGCGAGTTTGATAAAAAACACTTAGAGTTTTTCGGCTATACTTCTCTAGTGAAGGTATTTCTCCTAGTCCGAGCAAAGTCCGTGCAATAAAGGATGCACCTGTACCCCAAAATGCCTCCGAGGTACGATCATTCTTAGGAATGCTTCAGTATTGCGGCCGATTCATTCCCAAATTAGCAGAAATTTCAGCAACACTTCGCTTACTTACACATAAAGATGTTAAGTGGACTTGGACTTCCAAACAACAACATGCGTTTGAGACCCTTCAGCAGTTGCTTACTGTAGACACAACTATGTCATACTTCGACCCCGGAAAACGTACAGAATTACACATTGATGCATGACCATTTGGCCTCGGAGCCATATTAACACAAACAACGCCAGGACATAATGATTCTAAGGTGATTGCATATGCCAGTCGGTCACTTACAGAGACTGAGAGTAAATATTCTCAAATTGAGCGCGAAGCCCTTGCTATTGTGTTTGGTATTGAACAGTTCCATCTCTATCTTTATGGACACGAGTTCACTTCAATCACTGACCACAAACCTTTGGAACTCTAGATCACGCCCGTCTGCTAGATTAGAACGGTGGTGTCTGCACTTGCAAGACTACACTTTTCAGGTCAAATATTGCCCTGGACCGACAAACCCATCAGATTATCTTTCCAGACATCCTTTACCAAATTACTACAATACGAACACCTGCAAAACGCCCAACTTAGCTGATGACCATATACGTTTTATCGCGCAGAACGCAGTTCCCATTGCATTAGGTATTGAGCAATTACGCAAAGCTGTCAAGCAAGACTCAACACTTCAAGCCTTGATTGAAATTCTCCAAAATAATACATGGAACTCACTCGCAACTAAACAACCCGATAATACCGATATCGACCTTGACGAGTTAAAAGCATTTAAAAAGATCCAACATGAGTTATCATTAACATCGGATGTTGACCTAATTTTACGAGAAAACAGACTAGTTATCCCTAAACAATTACGTAAACAAGTGATACAATTAGCTCATGAAGGCCATCAAGGTCTTGTTAAGACAAAGAAATTGATACGTGAAAAAGTTTGGTTTCCTGGTATTGATGCATTAGCTGCAAAAGCAGTGAAAGACTGCCTTGCATGCCAGTCGGTAGGACAACCTGCGAAACTCGCTCCACTAAATCCTCTGCCAATTCCTTTACAGGCATGGGACACACTCTATGTTGATTTTCTTGGACCCTTATCTAGCAAAGACCTTCTCCTTGTAGTAATTGACGGACGGACACGGTTTCCTGAGGTTGCAATCGTTCGCAGCACCAATGCAAAATCGACGATAACCTCTCTTAATCGCATCTTCGCGACACATGGTTTGCCCAGAAGAATTATTTCCGACAACGGACCACCATTCCAAAGTGAAGAATTTCGTCACTACATGATTACAAATGGCATCACACATCACAAAATAACGCCATTATGGCCGCAAGCCAATGCAGAAGCCGAAAACTTTATGAAGCCATTAACAAAATGTCTCCAGACTGCTGTCATCGACAACAAAGATTGGAAAGAAGAGTTACAGTTGTTCTTGTTGAATTACCGTGCAACACCTCACTGCACAACCAAAGTACCCCCAGCCACGGCACTCTTTGGTCGGAATATACGCAGAAAACTATCCCAACAACCAAGTCGAGTGAATATGAGAAGAGTCAACAAGCAGATAAACGAAGCCGATGCAGCAACAAAATCAAAATCTTAGAGCTATGCTGATCAACGTCGTGGTGCAAAACAACCAAACTTCAAGGTTGGAGATCAAGTTCTCGTTCGACAGCAAAAGAGGAATAAATTAACGTCGAAGTTTAACTCTAAACCATACCATATTATCAAGATTAAAGCAAACACATCGGGGGAACACCAGGTTACAAGAAACTGTTCCCATTTCAAGTTATTTACTGGAAATTCGAATACAGAACTTTCGGAGAGCGACAATGAAAGTGATGTGAGTGTGGAGGACAACGCAGTTGGTCAACCGAATATTGAAGTCGGACAAGGGAGGGGTGAACCGAGAAGAGAAATAGAAGAA